CCCTGCCCTATGTCTCTCGCATCGTCCTCTCCTTCTCCTTCAGGTGTCCCATTCACATAAGATCACGTGATGGTCTCCCGCTGTCCTCTTCGACTGCATTAACCATTATGGCTCTAGATAGCCAATCTGCCACTACATTCTCCTTTCCCAGATTATAAACTATTTCAATATTATATTGGCCGAGAAATTCCTTCCATCGCGCGACCCTTGCAGAGGATTCTTTTAAGTTTCCCAACCAATTGAAGGGGCCGGTGATCGGTGTGGACCCGGAATTTTTTTCAAAAAAATGATCGATAGCCCACTATCGCGTGCAACTACCTCTCCAAAGCGCTGTATCTCGCCTCTGCATCTGTAAGACGTCTACTCGAGTATGCTACGGGACGGTCCCCTCCTACTCCTTCCTGCAATCGTACTGCCCCCAGCGCATACTCGCTAGCATCGGTGGTAACATTGAATTTCTTACTGAAGTCCGGAAACGCTAGTACCGGTTCTGTTTGTAATCGGTCCATACACTTTCTGATGTTCTGTTCCATTACCGGTGTTACAACCATCTTAGCTCCTTTTTTTAGTAGATTGTTGATTGGAACCAGATATTCCGCCATTTCAGGCACGAATCTCCTATAATAATTAAGCGTACTGAAAAGTCTCCTGATTCTTTTAACATTTCGTGGGACCGCCATTCGCCTAATAGCCTCTATTTTCTCCGTGTCAGGCCTAACCCCGTCCTTCGAAATTGTGTGGCCTAAATAAATAATCCGCTCTTGTCCCAACAACGATTTTTCTCTGGATAATTTTAGTAACGGCGCAACCTCTCGAATACGTCTCGCAGGTGTTCAGCGTGCTCAATTTCCGTCTTGATAAAGAACAGCAAATCGTCCATATAGACCTGGCATACAGTTTCATCCATTAAGCCCTGAAAAGTTATCGGTGCATTCTTCAGTCCAAACGGCATCCGGGTAAATTCATAATGCCCCCTTTTGAATGTAAATGCCATTTTATGTTGGTCCTTCTGGTGCATTTTTATCTGGTGATAACCTGCTTTAAAATCCAGGGTACTAAATATTACTGCCCCACTCAGCCTGTCTAATATGTCTTCAAATCTGGGGATCGGATATTTTTTGTCTATTGTGTTCTCATTTACTTTCCGATAATCTATCACCACTTGGTACTTCTCTTTTGTCTCGCCCGGCGCTCCCTTCTTTCTCACCTCCCACAAAGAACTGTTGTATGAAGAAGTGCTATTGACTATTATCCCCTGTTTTTTCAGACTTTCCAATTCCTCCCGGATTTGCTGTCTAAGTGCTTGTGGGTGGGGGACACTCGCTCTTGCTTAGGGGTATCTCATGGACTGTCCCCTCCCCCCCGTTATGCCTAGTATTTCTCCCTCTTTGAAGAAAATGTCTTTGAATTCTGCTTTTATGGATTTCCACCAGTCCTCAACTCTATTTACTGCTCCTATCTGCGCTTTCATACCCCTTGTGTCCTCCTTACCTCTGTACGTCTGTCCTCCTAATTTAATACTCCAAGTCCCGTTCCTGTTCTTGACTCTAATCCCAATCTGTCCGAATAGGTCAGACCCTATTATTGCCTGGTATTCCCGAGTCATGTTCCCTACAATGTGCACTTTCAAATTTCCCTTGTTTCCTGCCCAACGGTTTATCGCAATGACCGCTTCTCCTTCCACGTTACACGCCCCTCCCAGGGTAATTAGTTTACAATTGCATTCCTGAATCCGGGGTGCCCTCTAGCTACCACACAGTTTCTCTATTGCCCCATGAATCATAATAGTGCTAGTGCTTCCTATGTCTACTAAGCACCTCACTCCCCCTCTCACTGTAATGGTTGGCAACCAGCAAGGCTTACCTCTTATATTATTACATGTCACTGTGCGGTCGCCATTCTGAAGAAACACTTCTCAGATCCTTGCTTGCTTACTCCTCCCTGTTGCAGCTTGTCGCTGTCCACTCCACTGCGTGCTCCTTCCTCCTTCGTCTCCGCTGCTCCCTGGTTCCTCCTCCTCCGTCTCCGAGGCCTCTGATATCTCCGTTACCTCCTCTGAAGGCCCACTTCTCCGTGTCGTATTAGGGTTCTTCCTCACCTTATGCATGTTGACCTCCATCAGCTCCTCATGTATTGTTTCCCTCCTTCTGAAGAGGTACGGGCATTGCCTTGCAATGTGCCCTTCTGTCCCGCATTCGAAACATTTAGTGCGGGGACATTGTGCCACTAAGTGTCCTGTCCTTCCACAGCCATGACACTTCCTTTCTTCCTTACGGGGTCCATTTCGTGGTCTGGTTGGTGCTGGTTTTCTTTCTCCTGTTGTGGCTCATCCTCTGTTTCCGTATACAGGTTCCCTTTTCTTCCAACCAATCGGTGCGGCCTTGAAGCGTCTATTGTTCACTCGTCTCCATCCAGCTTCCTCTATCTCCATCCTATTTTCTTCTTCTCTCACACTAAAATCGACTATTTCTTGGGCACACTCTAGGAACGACCGTTCTCTAGGTAAGCCGTCCCTCTTTCCAGTTTCCTTGGCCATTTGAACCTTAAGGATGGTTGACAGAAACACCAACCTGACTTCTACTTCACCTGCACTCATCATTTCGCACATCTTCTCCGTGATGTGGTTGCACTTTGCCAATACTACTCCGGCATACTGCCCACTCGTCTGTTGTTGCGACTGGTGCTCCCTGAACATCTGGAAAACGTCTTCTTCTGGGGTCCACCTGCATCCCCCAAAAGCCTTCTTCAGCCTCTCCTTGATTACCGGCTATGGTGTCTCTTTGTCTGCCTGTATCTGGTTAAGGATACTTCTCTGTACTCTACATGCCAAGGCTGCTTTCAATGCTTCAGCATCTCCCAAGTTCACCAAGTTTCCGACACCTTTGCCTCTATTCTGGAAATGAGGCAGTCAACACCTTTCAGAAAATGATTTGAGTTCGCCTACCTCTCCACCAAAGCGTAATAAGTCCGCTATCGCCCTCCTTAAATCCTGAGTGGTCGCTGCTCTTACTTTCATCCATTCTAAAGTGTTGGCGTGCGCTTCCGCCAATGTGTCCCTTGGTAGCGGTGGGATTTCCTGAATCTGCGGAATTTCAGGAACCTGAAGAACTTCCGGTGCATTTGATATTACCGGGTTAGAAATTCCGTCTGTCACCATTTTACCTCTATTTCACTGCTTGAGGAAGTAAGAAAAAAAAATAGATCCCTACTTACTGGCTGTTGACAGTGTCCCGGGTTTCGGCACCACTTATGCGACTGTGAAACGAAACAATAAAAAAAAAAGGAAAAAGGTTGAGAAATAAGTTACATGGCTTCAGAAACAATGTTGCTTTATTCGTAAAGTAATCCGACTTATATACGTTTAAGGCTTTGTTTACATTCTAGGATGGTATTAAGGCTGATACTGTCCGACTCCTGTCCTTATCTTATATATATATATATATATATATATATATATATATATATATAAGAATTTTCACAATTTAACAGTGAAATTGATAAATGAAAAGGTAATTATTTTTATTTTTAGATGTCTTTTATTTAATAAGTTTTCAAGTTATGCCCCATTTATTTGATTAGATTGTTTAAGTATAATATTCTTATTATCAATAGTAATATTATATCTCAATTTTTTGTTGTCTATCATGAAATTTAGTGTGTAGATTTTAATGATGTAGTCTATTTTTGTTGATTATTAAAGAAATTTTGTTATAATCTGTATAAGTAGTATTTTGTTTTAAATATGAATCCTGTGCTTTAGTATTAAGTAAGCATCAAATATACTTTTTCATGGTCTTGATTTAACGGCTTGAAATGAAATTTTAACTTTTATTTTTAATCAGTTTCGGTATAACTGGAAATCTTTGTACTTCCCTTTGTTGAGTATTCCTGTAATTTGCACTAGTTCTCCTTTATCAAAGTCTGGAAAACACCCCCACTCAAGAACTGAAGCTCCTCCATATTTCACCATTGGAATTATTCTCTGAGGAATAAGCTTCTCTGACGGTTTACAGCGAACCATAATTCTGCGATTTGATCCAAACACCTAAAACATAAACTCATCTGGCCAAAGCACTTTCTTCCAAGCCTCCACTGTTGAATCCCTATGAGCAATTGCCCACCGATGTCTTTTATTATTATTAGGAGGCCTTAAAAGTGGTTTCATAGTACCAAAATGTCCCAATAAGTTGGCTTCTCTGAGTCTTCGTCTTATCATTGAAACGGTTACAGACTTTTTAGTGGCAGTTTTATGCTCAGGTCGAATCTGAGTACCTATCTGTGATTCTTCTATTCCTTTTTCTATTTAAAATAATAAATTCCTCCTCTTGTTTAAATGTTATTTGTGGCTTTCCTTTTTGAGTTTTATCATCTTGAGAAAGTGTCTCTTCATAGCAAGAAATTGTATTATGCACCCCAGTTTTTGAAATTTTTAGTTCTGCTGCAATTTAATGCTCATAGTTTTCTACAGGGTATAGAATATAAATTGCACTACGAAGTTCAACAGAAAATTCTTTTTTTTTCACCCATTTTTAAATACAAAAACGATAATAATATCAAAATTGAAACTCTTTTAATATTACAGAGGCTTGAATGAATACTAAATAAATTTCAGACAAAACATATCTTAATCCCATCCAGACGAGTTACCTGTTAGTAAATACAAATTGTTTATTCTTATAGCTATTGTATTGTTATTGTTGTCATTGGTATTAGTCAGATACCAGATTAATGTCACTTTCGGTTTAATTACAATTTTTATTTCTTTTCCTAGATTTTTTTCAACTAATTAAGAAAATTTATTGTAATTCAAGTTACTCTACATAACTATGTCTTTATAATTATGCTTAATTGAGGTTTTTAATGTAAATAACCAGGTGGTCTTAAACTTTTGACCACCAGTGTACATATCAGTTTTATGTTTCTTTTTATATTCGTTAAATTTAATTTAAGCTGATGGTAATTTTTTTCCTACTTTATAACCAAATGATGTTTTGTTTAAGGAGTGAATCATTGTAGCAAAATCACTTGTAATTACTTGTGCATAAGCAATGAAAACGAACCAATATGTTACTGTGAAGATGGCTCAAAAGTGAAACCCGGAGATATATGCAACAATCATACTGTAAGATAAAAAATAAAATGTTTTATTTATTTTATTAATTGAAAAATTAATAGTTGGGCCTGCTATCAACTTAATTAATAAGTATTGTATAAAGTGACAAGTCATAAACAGATAAAAAGATTGAAAATAGTAATAATTTTTATTGAGATTTTTTTTTTAAATTATGCCTCTCTTTATTGGCTTCCACCATCAGAGACCTTGCAGCCCAATACCATTCCGATTTGGACGACGTGGTATATCTAATGTTCAATATATGTGAGCATAAACCTAAATGCGCTGCATCCATATGTGCTCCCGAGTTACATAGGTTGCAATGTGGAGAGTCTGTCACTCCTATTCTATGTAGTTGTGGCCTGTTATCATCCAGAACTCTGCCACTGCTTCATTTCTTAGCAGGTTCATGGGAACTCGATCTGCTTCATTAAGCAATTTTCTCCATTGCTTTCCCACAATACTGCTCTTTACAGATTCCAGTAGTAGAGCCTCATTTGCCTTATTTATTTCTTTTCTGGCTCTATGATATGGTACTCTATTTTCTGGCTGGTTCAATGTGGAGCCTTCCCTGGCGAGTTTATCAGCCATTTCGTTGCCATGGCTCACAGTGACTTGGTATTCATTGAAAGAAGACCTGTACCTTGAAGTAGTAGTTTCTCTATGATCTTTTGGCAGTTCAGAATATCCTGAACAAAGGATTCATTGGTCCATGACATAGCGAGAATAGCTGCCTTTGAATGCACAAACAATACAATATTTTTGACATCTGTGACAAGATTTCAAGTGCCAATAAAATTGCTTTAACTTCGCTATCAAAATTTGAGGCCCATTTCCCAACAGGTTTCGAAATTGTAAACAGTTGTGAGTAAGCACCTGCCCTCCATTGTGTGTCGCTTGTTCAGCAGACTCATCAGTGTACACATGAATCCATGGAGAGCTGAGATAATGCTCAGCAATCGTTTCAAGAGCCAATGATCTTAGTTCTTCTGGTATAACCTCTTCTTTTTTAATGCATTTAATAAGGTTGAGGTTATATGATGCTGTTTTTACAGGGAACTGAGGTGATATTTGAGAAAGTAGTTCTCTTTGAGCAGGGAAAGGGGAGGGGGTAAGTTTATTTCTATTGATTTTTCTCTAAAAATGTAACTTGCATTATAAGTCTTTTTGACGCTAGCTTATTCTTTGACCAGTACTCTATAGGAAGTCTATGTAGTCATTCATAGAGACTTATTGAACTTAATTCTTTACACATCGCTATAGGATCGACATTCGCTTGTAACTTCATAGCTATGATGGGTGTAGACTTCAGCGCACCTGTTATTATCCGGAGTGCTGAGTTTTGGACTTTCTCAATTTTTTGCCTTCCACTCTTAAGTGCTATTATCAAGAGTTTTTCACAGTATTCCAAGCAAGGTCGCACGCACGCTTTGAATGCCAAAGAAAGTACATCTTGCATCGCTCTCCACTTTGTTTCCATAATTCTATGTAGTAGATTTATTCTTTGTTTCCCTTTGTTAACCAATTCCTCTGCATGCAGACTCCAGCTTAATCTGTTATCAAGTTTTACTCCGAGGTAGATGGTTGCTTTAGCACTTGGTAGAACTTCTGATCCATTTTCCAAAGTTGCATGAGGAATATTTTTGGTCAGCAAAAACAGTTGAAATTCTGTTGTTGATGTATTTAGCACCATTTAATTGGCCTCACCTCACATTCTTAGTTCCTCTAGAATGTTGCTTAAAAAATCTTCCAGAGCATTTATGTCACTTCTTCTGTTGTCCATTGAACTAAGTCATCAGCATACAATAGCATTTTTAGTTCAGGAAATTTTTTTTGCAGCAATTCAGTTAAATCATTGATCATCAAACAGAAAATAAGAGGACTCAGCACTGAACCCTGAGGAAGACCCTGCTTTGTTTGTTTAAATTCTGAAAATCCATTTTTATACCTGACCCTAATGAATCTTTGGGAAAGAAAAGTGGTCAGAAACCTGTATAGACATCCATCTATCCCCATTCAAATAAGCTTGTGCAGGAGTTTTTTCCTTCAGACCCTATCAAAAGCTGTTTTGAAGTCAACTAAGAAGCTTTTCCTTCGATGATAGTCGTCTTTTACTTCTTGTGAAAAATAAACAATCTGTTCGACTGTGCTTTTGTTTTTCCTGAACCCTGCTTGTAATGGAGATATTATGTAATTTTGCTCCACAACTGTCAGTAGTCTGTGTATTGCGATCCTTTCTAGTAACTTACAGAAACAACTTGTCAGTGCTATTGGCCTGATGTTTTCTGATTTGTCAGATTTATAACCTTTTTTTAATATTGGTATTACCTGTGCATTTCACCATTCATTTGGTAGATATGCCCAGACTAGTTTTAGGGAAGAGAGGATAACATTCTTAGCTTTTTTCCTAAATATTTAAGGAATTCAGGAAATATTTTATCAGGACCCAGTGACATTCCTCTTGAGAGATTCTGTGTAGCAATTGCCATTTCTACCAACGTAAATTGCTTATTAAAAACTCTCGATTGCTCCTCAGTCAAGCAGGTTGATGGAAGTCTTGTTTGAGGCTGTTCAAAACAGCTTTGGGCTTGAAATTACTTATAGTGCAATAGTGCTTACAAAAATGTTGAGCTATGTCCTTCTCATTTGTCAATAGCTTACATTCTGTCTGGATTGGGTTGTTTGAGTGTATTGTATTGTTCAATTATTGGCATGTTTTCTAAAATCAAGTTTCTCGTGAAAGGATCTGTATGCTGACTTTTTTGACTGTTTAATAGCACGCTTTAGTTCAGCTCCTCAATGCTTGGTATTCAGTAATCTGGAAGAACTTCAAATTGTCTGATGCTGCCCCAGATTCCACTATTGCTAAAATATCTGGGTCATGATTGATAACTAGAGTTTTAAGTTCGATGAATTTGTCATTAGTAAGTTTGTCCGAGTTCCAAGAAAGAACTTTTAAGTGGGCATTTAGATCTTGAGAAAGACCGTTTGCGTGAGAACTAAATAATGTAGGTCTCTGCATACATGTTTTAGATGGACTGCAACAGGCACCAGTATGATTGTTTAGCTATCTGTGCTTTTCAAAAGTTCTTGCTGTTTTATGGGAAAAATTAATATTTGATTTAAAGTAAGAGGTAAAAATCATGTCACTCAAAGTATTGCCCCTCACTAGCCATTCCTTTCTATCATCTTTCTTACAAAATATGAATTTCACATTGCAAAAAACTACCCGTCTTATAAGGCTATCCAAGATTTTACCGATTTTTTGCTTGGTATCTTCATAAGAATGGAAGTGCTACTTGGCCAGGCCATGTACCATCAAGCGAAGTAATTGATTCATGATAGTCAACTGTCATAGATATATTGAAGAGAAGTTGGTTGGGGTGTTCAGTCAAACAAAGAAAAAAGTAAATATAAATAAATGATACTTATTTTTAAAAACTAATAATAGGAATGGTATTGTATCTGGTGAATATGGATGGATGGTGGGGCAGAATTTCCCATTCATTCTTTGATTGCAGACAATTCCCGTCTTCAAATTTAAAAATAAGAGATTCATTTAGGAAGCTTAGCTTGTATTTCATTAAACCTCTGTTACATATATATATATATTGCCATTCATCCATTCAAAAATCTTAAAGCCAACTCTGAACACTTTAACAAGCTGGAACAACTGACTGTTGTTCTTAATGATAAAACTAGTCTCTATAGCAGTATCAATCAGATAAGAAAAAAATTCCATTCTCTTCTGAATCCATTGAATGAATTTATGATTTTTATAAAAATTTTGTTTGTTCGAAGACTTTTTCACACCAGTGTATAAGTATTATTCCAATATTTAAAACATAAATTTACTTTTAGAGCTTTGTTCTTAAGTTTAAAAAAATAATTTTTCTATAAGAGCTGTGGTAAATTTTGTGTACTTAAATATAGAATGTAAACACAATTGAACTACATCTTCTTGGAAAAGAGATTATGAGCTAAAATTAAAAAATGATGGATGTTTTTGTGATCTTTCAAAATTTTATCCATTTTGAAAGATCGGTAGTTTGGTTCCTGTTGATTTTAGAAAACATGTTTCCTGCAAAAATATTAGCAAATTTTGAGCTATTTAAGACATTTTTTAGCAAAATTACTTTAAAATTGAGCTATTTAGTGTAAACCGAAAAATTCTGATATGTCAATGGTTTTTGGAGCACTACTAGCGAACCCACAAATATTTTACTGTCAAAAACTTGGATTTTTAATATTCATCACATATCTAATAAAAAATTGAATTACCTGATCTTTTGTAAGGTAACACCTAATTTAAGGTAACAGTACTAGAGCCTAGTGTAGAGATGTGGATACGCTGCATAATGTGTTATTTTTATTATTTCCATTTTAATTTTTTTTATTTTGATGGCTTGTGAGTATTTATGAATGCTTGTTTGCTCAGAATATAACTGACATAAACTCAGTGAAGTTTATTTAACTTTCTTATCATATCATGTGTCAAGTCCCCAGGTCTCACCAACTCATACTGGGGCGAACCTATGCATTTGGTGGACATAGGACCAATATCTGAAATTTCAAATTTCCTCATATTTTTTTGGTTAAGCTGTTCTTCTTAGTTTCTGTTGTCATTGTCAATCGTCAGTTTGTTTTTTAATTAAAAATTTCGGTACTAGTTCACGACAGTTCCGCACGGATTACGAGTGGTTCACAATCACTTCGATCACACTTGTTCATGGAATCCCGAAAACAGCTGAATGTTGTCGTTTTTTATGATGTCAGCTATCACACAATCCCTTTTCATGCATTTTTGAAAAAAAAAAACGTATTCCCTTCATGGAACTTTCTTATTAACAATTTATTAACGAATTATGTATGTACTAATTAGTTAATTATTAATTTTTATTATAGCGGTTATTACTGTGAAAGAAAAAAAAAAATACATAAAATAATGTTTGAGTCGTTTCTTCAAGGCCTATTAAAAAAAAATGCTTTTAGTAATATCATTTTTATTGACACGTGCTTACATGTAGTGGCTGTAAATATGCATATACTGTGTATAAAAGATTTTTTTTATCATTTGAATAATAAATAATTTGAAGTTATCCATTATGTTTTTATTTGTTATTCGAGTCTTTCAATAGAAGTTGGAATAATTGAATTCATAATTTATTTTAGCAAGTCTTTTTTTAGAATTGCGCAATTGTCTATCTAGTTTATGTAATCTTTTAGATTTCTAATAATACGAGGGTCCATTATTTTCTAAGGGGGGGGCGCTTTGTATGCATATACTGTCTGATTTGAGATTGAGCATCAAGTTTATGCAACTTTTTGACAAATTCTTAGATATTCGGATCCTCTATTTTCTAGTCGTCGGAGCTTTTTATGAATATACTGTCGGATTTAAAATTTGTTGTCGATTTTTGGATTTCTTAGATGGATAAGAGTCCACTATTAAGTTGTCAAGGACGCTTTTTATGAAAATGTCAGATTAAAGATTGCGCAAGAAAAGTGTACAACATTAATAAATAAAATGTATCTATCAATCGTTATATAGATAAATATTTATTCTGAAAATGTCCAATCCCATCGAGACCTGTAGATCTGCCAGTTAGTTAACTGTTGACATAAAATTTATTTTTTCGTTATAATCGCTTTTATTTTTATTGAAGGAATTAGCTGTGTAATTATTGCTATTCACAGTTATTTTTCTTGGTAATCCGAAAATGGGGATTATTGTAGTCATTGGTACAAAAAAAAGTGTTTATTTTTGAGAAACGAATTAATGTATTGGGGAAACAACTGACGAAGAATATCTAATAATTCCAAGATAATGAATAATGGAAATCATCAATAAGAAAAATAATATATATTATATATATATATATATATATATATATATATATATATATATATATATATATATATATTATAATCTGAAATATCATTCAGAGATGTAATAATTAAAGGTTTTTATCTATTACTATTTCTTTTTTACAGATCTATAATATATGTAAAAGTTCAATTCAGGTTTCATGATGTGAAAGCCTTAATTTCGAATGTAAGTCGGCTCCTGCTATAGAACTGAACATGGTTAAGGTTATAGAAGTACTTAAATGGCAGGAAAGTTAATAGTAACTGGCCCAAGATATCGGTCCCCTTCGTTCTCTTTCAGATAAGCCGGAACGCATTCAGGATTCCATGAACAAAAGTGTGATCGAAGTGATTGTGAACCATGCGTAATCCGTGTGGAACTCTTGTGAACTAGTACCAAAATTTCCACCTAAGATATCTTATTAAAACGACCGTCCATGGAAAATATCCTTTCTTTAAAAGTACCATAACTATTTTGATAAACCAAAATTAATGAATCATCTTTATCACGATAAATTAACTTTATTATCATAATTTAAGTTTATGCAGCTTGAACTTCTATAAACTCCTAAAGTTTTTTTAATGAAAAAGATAAGAAAAAATTAAAACATTCATAACGAAAATCGCTCAGAAATCTACCTCCAGAGGAATTAACTAGAAGGTTTATAGTTTACTTTCCATTAATAATTACCTGCGGGTTCGTGCCGATTTACGAGGAAAAAAAATTTTTTTTTTCCTTTTAGCTCTTGCTATTTTTCAAAAGTTGTCCCTATAAATTCCAATTTCTTTGTTTTAAATGTTTGTTTATACTTCATGAACGTATTATTGTCTTTAATCCTCATGAATTGTAAAAACAATAAAGTCAATAAAGAAATAAAATTTAGTATCGGGATAGCATTAATAGCAATATGAACAAAAATCGCGACTTTTTTTTTTTTTTGAACAAACCATATAAGTTTCAAAAATTATGACTGCGCATATGGACAATGGATTCACGATCTTGGACTCGAAAATATTTCTTAAGTTAAAATCGGAGGCAGTGGAGACTTTATAAGTAATGCTTTTATTCATAAAGTTACCAATGGCATCTAAAATACAGAGTAATATAGTATGGATATATGGGTTGACTACATGAGTTCACTTCAGGTCTCCTGCAGTAAAGAGTATGACATCAAGAGAATTAACTACATGAGTGGTTTGGTCTGAGGATCATGGGGGTTATATACTCAGGAATAGTAGGGAGGATGAATCAATTCTGGATGGTCTAGGAAGCGTGTGAATGAAGTTATAACTATTAAGAATTGATATCCTTTTCTTTTAGAATATATATAAAGTCTGTGAGAAAGTGCTCTTTTGCTGAAAACGGTTATTGTTCCCTAAGTCTTGATAAGTGTCTTTTGTCCAGTCAGTACATTCTAGATAACTATTTCTAAGCTATCAGAGATGAATTAGGGCTTTGTGCTTTTATGCTTTGATAAAAGTCATGAGAAAGGTCAATGCATGAGTCACCAATTGGCATACTAAATAAAATAAAAGTTAAATTAATATTAATAGTTGTTACGGATTAAGTCCATTCCATAACTCTTAGAAAAAGGAGTTCTGTGTGCACGAAAATTTTTGCAAATTTTGTGGAAATTTGTGTTCCCATTGGATAGGAATCTATCTGACTTTTTAAAAGGTAACGAAAATTGGTTAAATTTAGATTTTGTTGTTATTCATGAATTAAATTTTGATTTACTTTCACCATCTTCGTCATCGTAAGCTTCTACTAACGGTCCATCCCGTTCTCAGTGTTTTGATGTGTTATGTGATAGGCAAAAGCAAAGAAAAACTCGAGATTTAAGAGAAGCTCTGGATGATATGTTTTTATATTTCATGAAAAAAAGATTTAAATCTGATGATGATTTCTTCTTTACGGTCAAAAATGATCAGTTTAAAGCAAGAATTATCACCTGATGCTCTAAACTTGTCGATAAATAATTGTTTCTCTTTTTTTTTTTTTTAATATTTTACTAAACCAATATACCTATAGATAATTAAAAAAATAATTTCTTTTTGTAATAGCTAATTAGTAAAAGTAACTAATTATAATATTTTTAATACAAATTTTTATCGATTTTGCTATGTTTTTTTATTGTAAATTGAATGGTACCTCTCACATATGAAAAAGAGGGGTCTTGCTTTGCCGAAAAACTTCAGCTTTTTGTCTTGAACAAGCTGTGGCCAGTCGAAGATTATATTTCACAATAATAAATCTAAATTAGAAGGATCACTTATGAAAATAAATATTATATTTCATTCAAAATCATATATGTAAAATAGCTATGATTATTGTATTTATTTACCTTTTTCTAGGGAATACATTTCAAAACCTATGAAACAGAAAATGTATCAGGGAGTAGTTCAGTTTTAGCTTGGTTTTTCTGGATTGGTGGGTTAGTTATAGCAGCTGGACTTGGTTATGCAAGTTATTATTTTGTAGCTAACTATGTTCAAAAAAATAAAATACACCCAAGGTAAGAAATATATCTTTTAATATTTTTATTCATTTTCTAGCTTTTATTTTTTTTACATAAACTGAACAATGACATGAAGATGTTAAAAGAGAAAAATGATGTTTATTTGGTAGTGAAACAATGCATAAGTTAATAGATTTAATTCTCATTACAAATACTAACTAAAATATTTTCTATGACTTCATATATTCATGTATCGCCACCAGATTTATTTGAATAAAGAGATGACTCTCACAAACAGACTCCTCTAATGGCTTGTCCGACAGAAGAGAGCTACGGAGAAAATCAAATATACTTGGTTTGCCGCCGGAAGGAGGATGAATATAAAGTTATCCTGATCAAACATATAATCCTATATATATCCTACATATATATATATATATATATATATATATATATATATATATATATATATATATATATATATCCTGATATATTAAATGACTTTCAGTTGTCTATTTTATGAGATTTATTGGATTGATTCAAGTGTAATTTGTTTTTTAAAAAAAGTTGATGGTTATTATTATTTTTGATATAATCTTTACTTCAGTCACTATAATGCTTTTTTTCTATAGTTTATTAATGTCAGTTCTACTCATTTGGTATATGTTAATATAGTTTTTTTGCAGGTTCAGTGTATTTTTTCCTGTTGGCCGTTCTGAGGCTCAGAGAGAACAAGGATCACAGGTTCATCAGTTTGAAAACCCTACATATAGTGAGGTCATTGTGGTATAATGAAATATGAAGTTAATTTAAGAAAAATATATATATTTATGTATATGTATATATATATATACGAATATGCATTAAATGAGTTGTTTTTCTTTTTCTTTAGGAGAACTCTGAACTTAAGTTTTTGTTAAACAATGAAATTTCTGTGAATCAAGCAGTATAGTAGTGTTTGATTTGCAATATAAGCATCCATTTTGCTATTTCCTTATTAGAACTATACTATTATCATATCATATTAAGTTTTTAATATGAATTTCATAGTAACTGATTGTTCTTATTACTATTTTTGACTGATAAAAGTAATATACTTTCAGTTTGAATTAGCAGAGAGCTATTTAAGCTCTATAAAACTGTACCATTATCAAATATATAATATTTGAGCTATAATTTATTGTTTTAAAATGTATATATAACTACCATAATTGAAGTTGATATGTCAAATTGTATGTGTAATTTTTAGATTTATTTATTATAGTTGTAAAATTTATATTTTAAAGATTAAGTTGTCATTTTAAAAGTTCATAATCCTGCATTCTAACTGGTATTATTCATTAAATTGTAATAATATTTTGAATGTTTGATCGATAAAAACTTTAATAAATTTAAATATTTTAATATAACTCCCATAAAATGAACATTTATGACATTATAAGTATTGTAATTAAGACCATTGTTATTACAAATGGTTTAAATAACTTGTCAAAAACTATCAGATGAAAATATTTTATGTTTCTATATTTTGTAAATTTATTTCTTGTTAATCTATTTAGAAAAGAATTTTACCTTTAGATAAAAACTTCAGAAACAAATTGTGAAATACATAGTAACTACATTGTTAATAATGTAAGACCACTACAGTTTCTAAAACAAGATGAGCAATAAAATGTTTTACAGTATTTTATGAACTTATCTAAAAGAAATAATAAATTCTATCCAGTCATCCGATATTTTTAAGGTATTAACATATTGGCAGCATTGTAAATATGACAGCTGGTTTTGAATAAAATAATCTTTTTCAGCTTATTTTCTTTCAATATTTTTACTTTAACAAAAGGTTTAAATTATCAGTGTAATTATTATTATTATCTTTTTATAAATTTCTTTTACATTAATTTATCTATCAAATTTAAAATTCCTAACCATAAAATGTTATGGGAGCAAGGGAGGGGGGGGGGGGGGTGTTTGATGCACTTATTGCATAATTAGAAGAAGAAAGTAGATTTTATTCTGGGATAGTAAGTTCCCTTAGAATAACTACAATGTACAATGCAATGACAATTGTTTGGCATTAGAAATAGTTTGGAATAAATTAAATTACAAAGTTATCTAGATCTAAAATTAAAATAAAGAAAAGGCACTAGTAAACATATGAAATTATAGATAAATCCTGATGTGGGAGTTCACATATTTATACACATAAACAATGTTGATGATATATAATTATCATCATATAATTATCAGTAGGATAACATTAAATTAAAACATATTCTGAAGACTGATTGCTGGGGAGATGGATAGATAACTTATGGTTAAATGAAGTCAGGGATGAGGTTTTACGTATGGAGGAATTCCAAAACAAGCTAGCACATATGGCAAAGGATTTTTTAAAGAGGACAGTTCTATGAGAAGGAATAAACATGTTTGAGGGCTAGAATCTCATGTTGAACGAATGGACAGAAGAACATCATAAATTTTATCTCATTGGAAACCTCATTAACTCTTATCAATGTAAATAGCTGTAGGAAAAATTAGTGAAAGGTTTTTATATTGCTCTTTATTTATTTAACATTTTTGACTGTCCACCCATTTTCAAAATCAGTTAACTTTTTTGTTGAAGAGAAATTTATTGGGGACCGCAGTCCTTGAAATTATGAAGTAAAAATAAATTATTTTTATTTTCTTTGTACCGATGTTTCTGCCTAAGTTGCAGACTTTTATCAGGGCTACTTGTTAAATGGGATTTGGAGGAGTAAGAACCTAGTTAACTTTTTTGTTCTTTTTTCACATGAACATTTGATTCTTTATATTTAAAATGATTATTTGTTCGAAGTTGTGGAAAAGTAGCAATAAATTAGAAGAGTGGAAGGTGATAAGTAAGTAAGCTTAAAAATATCGGGGTCATCTTAAGCTCAATAAACCAGCTTATTCAGTAAATGTAGTTATAGTTATACTTTTAAAAAATTATTAAATCCCTATGCTACCATTAAAATTTAGATTTAATTTGCCTTTTAGGGGAAAAATGGGTAGGGGAACAGGAGGTTTAGAGAGAGAGATGTGTGCAGGTGTCTCCCTCACTCTTTGCGGAATGATCATGCTTTAGCGCCCTACCCACTGCACGCGAGCTCCCAGAGCTCCTTATTCCTATCAATGTCTACTGTCACCTCCATGTTGGTGCCCCCCGGGGAGTCCGATGGGACTCGCGGATGACAGAGGCAGGGTACATTCACTTCTATCCATCTATTAATTTCATCCATCATTAGTGACTTATGGCATTCTTCAATTTTATGAAATAAACATCTAAGGATGATTTTCTTCAATATATATTTTAGATGAAAATGATGGTGAAAATTTCCTTGTACCACCACTTTTCTTTTGATATTATATATGTCTTTACTCTTGTGTTCACTTAATAAATTTAGTTGATATTATCTGTTTGATTTGGCCATTTTCAATATATATCTAACCTTCATATTTACTTTAATTGATAAAAAAGAATTTTCTTCGACCTATACACTTTAAGGAGCTATTTATGATTAAATAAAAGTTTGATTTTCTGAACTGTTGTTCCAAAATTCGTTTTTATTAAAAAAAACCTTTCTTTTTTTTTTAAAATTAATAATGATATGTAAAGATTAAATAGGTATTATAGTTTTCTAGGTTAAAAATTATATTGCTTTGTGATAAAATTTTAACTTTAATAACTTTTAGTTATCATTTTACATGCAATTTTCTAAACTGTTATTCCCTGTTTTATTTATTTTTTAAGTCTTTTTTAAAATAAAAATTAAATGAAAAAGGATAAAGTGATGAAAATAGTACTGAAAGGCCAAAAAGGATTGAGTTGGGGGAAGAGGGTTGAATGATAGGAATGCTATAATAATGGGCTTGGAGATGCAATCAGTATGACTGGTTCATGGCTATTGGCTGTGCCAACAATTTTAGCCTGGGACTGAAGGATCAACAAATAGTTGGGAGAGAGGAGCAAGTTACATGATTTGCTCAAGATTTTTTGGTTATTCTAGCTGTCCCATATAGGGTCATTAATGTTAATATTAAATGGGTGGAAAACTTATATTCTCATTGAATGCTATCTCAATAAAAACCATGTTTTTGTTAGACTACACCATAAGCCATGTATCCAAACCTCAGCAAGCCCTATGCCTCCCAATTTACAAGGATTAATGTTGCTTGGTGTTTTAGCACAGTGATATTTATATTGTACACAAACCACTGCACTGCACAAACCCTTAATCTGGAGGCTTAGAGTCTCCTTTACTCTACAGCGCAATTCGTACATTTCGTAAATGTTTATACTATTATTTAGTATTTATTTACATAATTTTAAAATAACAATAAACAATATATCTATCTGAAAATTATTTTTATTTTAATTATTTTTCTGAAGGTTCTCTTCTTTTATGCATGGTTATGTGACATGTTGAAATTTAATAAAAGATAGTTTACCTTCAGCAATCTTTTATTATAACTTGTATACTATAAAAAATAAAAAGGCATATTGGATAAACACATTTGATCAATAATAAACTAACTTAGATTTTAATGATGCTTAAAACTAAATAAACTGATGTTATGACATTAATAAAACACCACTAATACTATACATGATAAACGTACTACACATTAAAATAACAAATAACTAAGTATCAGTATATAACAGAGCATCAGTACACAAAGGAATATTAAAATATTCATAGTATAATATATATACAAATAAAAAAATATAATAAAATAAATCCTATGCCAACAAAGCAATGAAACAAACTGATTAAAGTCAATCTATTTATACATTATGAAGAACATTATTTTGAGTATCTCATTAATGAACCTAAAGATCCCAACCATTACATCACTGCTTGCTGATGACCAGCAGCAGAATCAGTTTATATTCATTGTCCGCTGCCTTCAAATCCTGAAGAAAACCAATCCATCTCCAAGTCATGTAGATGGGTCATACGACAAGGATATGACCAATCATATCAGGCCTCTCTAAAACATTTGGGTCCATTGACTGGACAGGCATCCATCAGTTCAGCTGTCTTCAAAATTGCAACACTTAATAGTGAGTTTCCAAATTTCATTTTCACGAAGTGGTTTTATGTTGTGTGATTTAAGTAGAACATGCTTTTATAGAATTTCATATAAAATCCATTGAAATTCTCAACAGGATTCATAGCCCAATCTTCTGAGGCATGCAATGCCATTGCGGCAACAATCATTTGCAATAATTTAAACGTAGCTTCCTAGGATCTCACTTTCCCTCTCGCTACGACTTCCTAACGTTACCAAGAGCCTTTGTACCACAATTTACAAAATAGGCAGCTGTCTATCCTTTCGTGTACAACTGAAGGGTATACCAAAGTAAGTGACATTATTTAAATATTCAATGGCCTTATCATCTAGTAAGAGTGAAGATTACTTTTTACATCTGGGATTGCTTGGAAGACAACTTTGGGTTTGATGCAGTTTATTTTAAGATTATTTGCCCTACAATATTCAGTAAAGACAGTTAATTTGTAATACCAAAATCAGTTCTTGAGTCTCTAAACAGTATAAATCATCAGATAAAAGGAAACCAATGACATTGTAAATGTTATCAACATTCACTCCATTGAAGCATGCCCTATAAAACTCCTGAATTACGTCTGACGGAAATAGGTTAAAAACACAAGGTGAGAGGGATTCCTCCTGGTGTACTCCTGTCTGAATGAAGATCATCACCGTCATATCTAGCACAACAACCCATCACTGGGTCTGGGCAATCTCTAAAAGCCTTCAACAGTTGGCAAGAACCAGTGATGCAGCAATCCAGTTCCAGATTTGTTGACGTCTCCTGAGCACACAGACATTCCGTCCAGCCACCTTGCCCTAGGTCTTCCTACTCTCCTTGATCTGTGCAGTTCCTCCATGTAAGATTTAAGCTCCTAGTATATAAGAAGAATAAGGCTGTAGAGTTCCATTTTTAATCTTTCCCTGCCAAACTTCAAAAGCTCTGTCTCGAACCCATCCATGTCAGGGACCATATTGTTTTTAAACTTTAAGATGGTATTTTCAACATCTTCATGTTGTTTATTTCAACTAGATGTTTATTTCATAAAATTCTCCCCCTGAGCTATTGGTAGCGTTTACTAAGATCCAAGCAGACCTAGATCGAATCTGTGCCTGGGCAAAATTAAACGGATTAAGGTTAAATGCTTCAAAAACTCAGG